TAGTTTACAAAAATCTTCTAAATCGAAATTTTTTAATTCTGTTCCACTGCCGGTAGTAATTTTTTGTGGTAGTCCCTGATGTGAAATAAATTCTAAAAGTTTTTCTACGACTGAAATTCCTGTTATACAATTTAGGGGATAAGCCTGGCCATATCGCGAAGAAGAATTAATTATAGTCAAATAATATTTATTAGAAATGTAAAATATATCTAAATGTATGTGTTCAAAGGGTTTTGATGCAGTGGGTGTCAAATAAAATTTTAGCCATTAGCCATTCAAGCCAATAATATCTGGAACTAGTGCTTAGCTATTTCATTTCATTTGAACTAGAAAGTACTATATATTTGGTTTTTAAAAAAATCAAAGATCAGTATCTTTTAAAATTTATTAAATAATTTTATAAATTCTTCATTGTGTTTTATTTATTATTAGGTAATTTGTTAAAAAAAATTGATAAGAAGCTCTATGAAAATTCCAATAACTAGATAAATTATAAATACTCCATTCGAACTTATCTCTAAATTATAATGCACATAATTAATGTATTGCATACTTTTAAATCTACAACAGAATTTTATCATATTTCATCTATTTACTAACATTTTGATTTTCACGGTAAAATGTGCAGTTATAGTAATTTCATGAATAATTTATAACATAAATATTAACTTCGTAATAGTTCTTTTAAAATTTTACACCAATGATTATTCCCTTTCAAAAACGTAAAGATACTACGTTCTAGCTGTTAGCACGCCGCATGTCGAGAACACCTTTATCAGCTTGGAAAACGACCTTCGTTGTGTTGTATTGGTGGAAACTATTATTTTTATTTTTCTTAATATAAAAATAAGCTTTACACTTGGTTTCACCTTTGAGACTATAATTTTTTTTTATTATTTTTTACGCCTATTTATGTGAATGGAAGACGTACTTTGTTGTACAATTCAGGTGGAAGACGACATTTTCTAGTATTTTTATGTTCATATCAACGTGTACACCAAGTTTCATATATGCCAAAATGTTTTTTTTTTTAAATTTTTTTTTACTGGAATTGCAACCCTCCCCGCCACCCCTTGTCGTACAAATGGAATGGAAGACGATGATTTTACTGTTAGATGCTATTTAAATAACTCATATTCAAAACATAAAGCTTGCGAAAATGGTTTTTTGAAATCTGTCATTACCTCCCGGACCAATAGGTTTGTTCGGGTTTCTTTAAAACATGATGCAAGCCGTCCGATAACCAGTGTAACAGTGAAATTCGAAATTATTCGTCGCGTCCAACTATTAAACTGCCTACCGGTCAACTAGTTATCTGATAGTTGTGATGTATTTTTGAGAACCCGACCAGGGGCTCGATTCTCGAGTTCATTGGAAAATTTTCCCATGGGAAAAGATTCCACTACTTATATTCCCATGGTAATAGGTTATGCAATTCTCGAACTTGTCGGAATAGACATTCCCATGGAAATAATAGTTTCACGTATGTCTGATATTAAGTTCACGAATATTTCGAAATAACCAATAACATTAAAGATATTTTAAAATTTACTGTTGGTATTATTTGTATTTGTTGTGGTTTTTGGGTAACCGATTACCTACCGAGCCTCTGCGCTGGAGCAGATGCCGTGCCGAGCAATCGCTAGCTTGACCGAGGACAAGTGAAAATATTCGATTATGTATAATTAAAACTTATCGAGTTATTTTTAGTTTTTCTTTTCACATATTGAAAAAAGAAAAATTAGCTTTTGTATAGAAGAGCAACGAAAGTTTCGAGAAACTATATATGCTATATATATATATATATATATATATATATAAGAAATTCTTTCGTTAACGGAAATAATATAATTTTCGAAAAGGTCTTATTAAATTTACTACAAATTTCTCAATTTGTGTTACCTATTTGCCAGTCCCTTAGCAGCTCCCACAATTTCCAACTAATTTAAGAAAATCAGTTTCTTAGTGAAAGAGAGGTAAAAATAATATACCCACATAAATAAAATATTATCAATTTATAAATACACAAAAAAAATGTTTTAACTACAATTTCACCAAAAATCCAAGATATCCAATAATCTTTGGTTATGTCTTAGTCTTTCGCGTGGTCTTTCGTCAAATTTTCGACTTTAATGCGCAAACTCTAGTACAATTCCCATTGGAAAACACAATTTCCAATGCTCGTAAGCAGGGGAATATTTTCCCATACTTCTCATTGGAAAATATTCCACCGCTTATGCCGAGAATACGAAAACTGAATTCCCATGGGAAAATTTTATTTTCCCATGGGAATAAAAGTCGAGAATCGACCCCCAGGGTGCGTATGCTTAAAAACGAGAGAAACTGAAACTCCTCAAGGAATATATTCACTTTATTTTCACTTTCCCAAAAAATTGGTATTCTTGAAATAACGTGAAAGCCAAGGGAGGAGAAAGTAGATGGTGAAAATAAATACAGAGTTGTCAGATCGTTTTAGATCATCCGACCAATTAGAAACTACGAGCTTTTGACAGCAAATGCCACTTCTGGCATTTTAAGAATTTAGGTTATTATGATTTCTTTTTATCGACAACGGAATTTTGACTTTTTCACGTATACACATTTTAAAATACTATTGTTGATTAAAAATAATAAGTATTAACTGTTTTAAATAATTATCAAATTAAAAATTCAAATATCTTGGCTATAATTCAAGTATTATTTTTCTAAATGTTTAGTTTTAGTTTTAAAACGTCTTTATTTACAGTTAAAAACGCTACGATTGTAGGAGGTAGGTACCTACCTATTACTTTCCTAAATAATTAATCATTTTAAAAACACGAGTCAAAGTACAAACAAATTTAAAAGATGTTATTAGGTACTATTGGAAAAGGGGAGTATTATAGTGTACGGGGATAGTTTTACACTACTACCTTTTATAACTAAAGAAGTTGTTGCTCCATTTTGTCAATTTGTCTAAAATGTATCTGTATTGAATAAAAAATATTCTTATTATATTCGCGTCTAAATCCATTTTAAAGGGAAAGTAGGTAAATAGCGCAAATGTATAAATATACCTGAAAACTACTAACAACATCAATGAGGTTATAGTAATATTTTGATATTTATTTATTTAATTTCTGACAAGCACTGCGCATGCTTGTGAATTGAATTCTCTCGTTATTTTCATTCTCTCTACCTAAAAGTAGGAGAAAGTTTTGAGAGAAAATTCTCCACCAATTTTGGTGAATTTGATTTCAAGAATACGAATTTTTACAAAGGAGTAGAAAGTGAGAATTTTCTCTCAATATTTCTCACTCCCCGATTTCAAGAATAGGCACCCAGATCTCTCGCAATATATCTCGTTTCGACTAAATTGTTCAGCGACCGATTTGACCATGCCAGTCAACTTGACCGCTGACTTAACTCCATAACAACCCTTACTTGATTTTTCTTTTTTAATACCATTATTGTTATTGACAAATTTTTACAACAAAAAATATTTCTAAACTATTTTTTTATAATAACTTTACCTTTTATAAATTTCCATATGCAAGATATATACAGGGTTGGGCACAATTGACAGAACACCCGATTTGTGACTCAATTATGGATTTTATTGAAAATTAACCCGAATAAAATTTTTGTATATTTTATGCACTATTTAATGACCTTGGGGATTACACAAATCTTTCAAAGTAAGTCTTCGAAGTAAAAGTCTCCAACAGGCAGACAATATCCTAGTTTAATATCAAATGATCTTAAGGCATTTTAATAAACTGTTATTTCTGGAACAGCATTTCTTATTTTGTCTTCCATTTCTTTCAGCAAATTTGAAAGGTCCTTATAAACTAGTGATTTCAAAGGGACTTAAATGAAAAATCCAGAGGGGATAAATCCGGGGACCGTGCCGACCACTCAATATGTCCTCTTTGACTTACCCATCTCTGCCGAAATATTGTGTTCAGGTACTGCCTTACTCTAAGCATCAAAATGAGGAGGAGCACCATAGTGCTGGAACCATTTTATCAGAAAGTTCAAAACGATTTCAATGATTTAAAAATAAACAAATTCTAAAAATATCTGCTCTTGAAAAAGTTACAAATAACAATCGCCGTTCAGAGCTCCTCTTATGAAGAATGGTCCAATAATTCTTCCTCTAACTATACCAGCCCAAACGTTTAACTTTTGTGGATACTGGGTCCATCCAGTGAGGATTATGATCAGACCAAAACCAGTAATTATGTTTATTTACAAATACACTGGGACAAAATGTTGATTCGTCGGAAAAAACAATGTTGTTTAACAACATATTGTTTCCATTAATGGCTTCCATTATTTCTTGACTGAATTGCATTTGCCTATCTGGGTCATCTTCATTCGATTCTTGGTGTAATTGCACTTTATAGGGATAAAATTGATTGACTTTCAGAATCCTGCTTACATATCTCTTGCTCGTATTATTGTCCAAAGTTTTTTGTTCTTTCTATACACTTAGAACCACAATAAGTGCATTTTCTTCATCAGTGACTGTCCTCTTCCGTCCAGATCTGGAGTTGTTTTTCACATTTCCTGTTTCATTGACCTTGCTAAAATTTCTGTACATTGTAGATTAAGAAATCGGGGAAATCCTACCAGGAAATACTTCATTAAACAAATCACAAGCTTCTTGCAGAGATCACTTTCTGCCTTTAAACCCAATATTCATCAATAGTGTAATTCTTTCAGGTTCACTCAATTCAACCATGGTTTAATTTAATAAAAATTTTCAGTAGTATCAAATGTTGAAAGTTATTTATTGTCGCGTATTGGGCTAGTTTAAGTAAACTGAATAGACTAGTCTAAATGTCTCCATAAATCAGAATGAATTAAAATCTACAGATTAATAAAAGGTGACATTAATATAAAAACCAACAGTAACACAAAAATATTTGTCAGATATGTACAAAAATCGTATTTATAAAACTGAGTGATTAATATCGAGATGTCAATATGACATTTTTAATATCAAAGAGTGAATCCCAAGTAGGGGACGTCCGCCAACAGTGGTCATACCAAGTATAGTGGCCACTCGTTGATATTATTGAAATGTGATGTCTAGTAGTAGTATCTTCTCGTATGTGGGATTAAAATCATGACTTTTTTTGAATATTTTAACTAGATTTTCAGTACAATGGCATTTACGGCAACGCAGAGTTTATGTGTATTTCTAACGTAAAAAGTTACATATTTCTCCGATTATTTCGGGGTATATATCTGTTACAAGTAAGTATACTACTGTTATTTGCAATTCTTATATTTGTCTTGACTTAGATAAAGCGTATGATGATGTTAAAGATGTTGAGGGTAGGTAAAGTGTCTTTTTCTCTCTGCTACAGTGGCCATAAACTGATTAGCAACAGTGGCCACTGCTTTTAAAGAATAGAAGTAGAGGCCACTATTCCAGATATGTCTTTCTTTTTATTTCAGGAAGAAAAAATGTCACGGCCGAAGTTAAAAAGAACTGGTTTAATTGGAAAAATTCTCCAGAGACTATGAGAAATACTCTTTGTAGTATAAAGGAATATGGGCTTTCTGTAAAAGCAGCCGCACTTCGTTACAATATTCCAAGAACTACCCTTAGGAGGTGTAAAAAAACTGAAACTGTTAAAGATATAGCAAATGTTACTAATGGATTGTCATCCAATTATGATGCAAATAGAATATTTTTGTTGCGGAAGAAACAGAGCTCTGCTAATACCACCAAATGTGTGCCAAATTGCATCATGGACTCACTCCAACAGATTTCAGATAGTTTGCAATTTCATTGGCAACAGAAAATGGTAAGCAAATTCCTCCCTTTTGGCTCAAAAATGATATCCTCTCCCCATTTGAACAGCTGAAGCTACATCCTCGAGTCGTGCTATGGGTTTTAATAAAGTTGTCCTTTTGAAGTTGTTTGAAAAGCATCACTTCAGATTTGCTAAAATATGTAACGTCGACAAAACGGCTCTGATAACAGTACAAGAGACAGGCAAACGACAATGTGTGACAATGTGTGGTGCGATAAATACGGATGGCAATAATGTACCGCCCCTCTTAATATTTTTAAGAAAATTCTTTAAGAATCACATGACTAAAGGTGCGCCAAATGGAACCATAGGAGTAGCATCTCCCTCGGGTTGGATGATGTCGCAAATATTTATTCAGAAGCTGCCGCATTTTATATCCCATGCTCACCCAATACAAGAGTTGCCAGTTCTTCTCATAATGGACAATCACATAAGTCACAGTTCTTACACAACAATAGAAATTGCTTGAGCAAATAACATAACTTTACTTACTTTGCCATCTCATACAAGTCACAAACTGCAGCTACTGGACAGAGCTGTCTATGGTCCGCTGAAATCGCACTATAATAGTGTCTGCTGTTCGTGGTTGATGAACCATCCTGGTCAATGCATAAGCATATATGACATTGCCGAAATTCTAGGCCAGATCTATAGCAACGCATTTTACAAATAATTATGCATTGGGTTTCAAAGTTACGGGAATTTACCCTTTAATTCAAATATTTTCATTGACGATGATTTTTTGGCCTCCCAAATTACTGACATACCTCTCAAAGAAGTCACTGAACCAGAAGAAATTAATCCCAGCTAAGTCACTACCAAAGTTGCGCCACAAAAACAAAATAGTCTACTAGAAGAAGTGGGCCCAAGCTGCAGAGATTTTTAAAGGGATAAAAAAGACAAATTACGGCAATATTGACCAGTATTCCTAAATTTAGAAAAATTCAGAAGCTGGAAAAAATATTTAAACAGAAGCAAGTCCACTACAAGACAAATTTTCAGCTTTAATACAGAGACCGCAAATACAAAACATTAGCGCAAAGTAATGACGATAGTAGCGATACGCAATCTAATGCCTAAAGCTTGAACCTGGCGATATTGATTGGGATGAAGAAACTAGAGATCAGAATGACGACGTTCAAATCATGGTTGAAAGCTTTATTTTAGTAAAATTTGCTACAAAAAACAAGTTAAATATTGTGTGGGCCAAGTTACGGATATCGATAAAGAATGTAGACTTTACAAGAAAAAGACGAGAAGACAAGTTTTCTTTTTCTGATGTCCCAGATCAGTCAACTTTCCTACCAGAAGATATCGTGATGTCATTAGCAACTCTAGTATCGATGGGAGGTACCACCAGATTTCAACGGTACCATTAGTTTTCCACCGACCTGACTAATTACAATGATTGTCTATATTAGACTGAATTTATGATCTGCTTCATGAATTCTATGTTTCTGTTTTATGTTTTGACGCAATAAAAAATATTTTTGAGAGTTGTTTTTTATTCATTGTACCTTTAAAATTTGACCACTGTACTATACTAGTTGGTACAGTAACCAAAGCACAATACTTAATTTTTTCGATATTTTTTTTTTCTTTAAATTTATAAAACTTTTTGGGTAAGTGTTAATGTTTGCATTTTTATATCAAAGCCAAACTCTCTATAAGGTGGTAAATATGCTCAGTTTAGAACTTATGCCAATTAATAAAAAAGGGTGGTCACTGTTGGCAGACCTCCCTTATTACTCTTAACTCGCCTTTTTGATAGTTAAGTGCGTCCATCTGTCATATCGAAAAATCTTGTTTATATCGTCTTTTCTTTATTCTATCTCGATGAAGAATCTTCTTATTTTTTTCGACTGGAGCCAAAGTCAATTGTGAAAAAGACGTTTTTCATTATATTTTCGTCGTTTTATTAAATAGATGGCTAAAAATTGGTACGCCTAGTTTTTTTGGGACAACGAATCATAATTAGAACCTAAATATCACCTACTTTATAAAGAGCGCTAGTTGCAAGTTACCCTGTTTGATGATGACCCAAATCGAAATTTTTTTTATTAATAGAGATTTCTTACACTGACTTAAGAAATCTATGGTTAAAGGATTGGATTAATTTTTTGGGACACCCTGTATATATGAATAGTTATTTGCCTGTGGTTAGTTTTACTAGGTTCCTTATCAAGTGTTCCTAGAGTGTTTTTTTTACATCTGGTCCGAAAAGGGTGAGTCGCCGTTGCATTCGAAGATGACATGGTATGAGGTTCCTTCCTCTTTCATAGAAAGTTTACACATGGTGTAGTCTTATCACATAGAGGTGTTTCAGCAAGCAGTGTTTTGTAATTTCACAATGGTGAATATCTGGAGCTTTGCAAGCTGTATTACTTCAGCGTGAGTTTGGTCTTCTTAGCATGATTTTATTAATATCTTACCAGTGAGTTTGAAGTTTGCTGTTCACTGCCTGTCCAGCAGAGGTTTTACTTATCTCAAATACGGTGCTAGATCCATTTTTGGCGAGTTCAGCAGACCTTTCTTTTTCTTAAATGCCTTTATATCTTGGTATACAGCCAGTTTTACCTTATTGTGGGTTGATACATTAAAGTATTACAAGGCAGTTCCAAATCATATTTGATTCTGTTTAAAATAAGGGCCCTTAAGGTTGTCTGCAAGATTTGTTTTTCTTTTTTAAATTCTCTCTTACACACAACTCGTTTACATGTATTTGGGTATACTTATTCTATTCTTTTCTTCATCTACGTACCTATTTTCACCTTCAAACACGACCCCAAAAATGTAAAATCATGAAAATTTATATAAAAATTATCCTATAGAGTTGATACTTATAAAGTAAACTAAATATTTGGGGCTTTTAGATCAATGTTGCATCGGAAATGCCCATAGAAGGAAAAGGAGTAACCGAGTGTTTGGCTGAAGTGAAAATAACAAAAGAGGACATTACTTCTCATCCACCAAAGAATACAATCGAAGTTATGTGCTTTATGAAATGCCTTATGTTCAGAAATGGTAAAATCGACGCTAAAGGCAAAATCAACGTTGAAAAAGTAGAGGAAGATTTGTCAAAAGTACCTGGCCTCACCGATAAGCAAAAAGTGGACTTTAAAAAATGCGTAATTGCTGTAGACAAGATAGAGAAATGTGAAGACATAAAGAAAATACGTCTATGTTGGTTGGCATTAAGCAAGCATCATTGATATTGAGGGTACATACAAATTAATAAATTGAAAACAAATTATGAATATTTTATAATTTTATGGATAGTTCCGTAAAATTGGAGAATGTATTTTGTTTTTTTAATTATATTTTATACTTTAATATTTAGTATACTTAATATGATATGCTAAAGGTTGTTTTATTTAATTTATTAGATTTGTATTAAAAGCAAGTAAATTATCTGCAGGTTCACTTTGAAAAAAAAAACTAAAATTATAGAAGCCTTTGAGTTTAATTAAACACAAATCTTATTTCATTAATATTAACGTGTCTCGACATCAGAGGCCATTGTCATAGTCACAATAATAAATTATTACAACATAAGGGCTTAAGTTAGGTCATAAATGAATACATAAACTTTCTACAACAAATGACAAAAATAAATGACAAAAATAAATAACAAAAATTTACAGTAGGAATAACGTGATTCACAAAACAGTAGAGCAAAATAAACTGGCTCACATTAATTTAAATTTGGTTGAATAAATTCACTTCTTTTAAATAATTTTTTCCCAATTCACTAGGATATCTACAAATGAATTCATTGAAATCAGAAGGATATTTTTTTTACATTTTTGGTAACATTTAGTAATAGTGAATTCTAGTTCCGTAAAATTTGAGAATGTATTTTTTAAGTTCGGTAAATAAAGAATAAATCAATTTGTTCTTCAAATACTTGACAACTTTTAAAATTAAGAATTTCTCAATTATATTTAATTTTGTTGATATGAAATGTTATTGACCAGTTTATTTTCAGTAGTAATAAATAGCATGAGTGCTGTTAGTATCACTCTAACATATTTCTAGTATCATCGAATAGATACGTAATGTTACATGAAATGTCATCTACAAATACACCTCAGCTGATACAAAAACGCCAAATGTACATTAATAAACTGCAAGTTTAGGCTCTTTAAGCTCGCATGCAATGTACTTTTAATGTAACTCTAAAGGCGGACACAGATCTGAGCATGTATGCGTATGAGGCAAGTCGAGGATGAGCATGCAGACGTAGACGTGCTTCCGAGGCGTGGCAAATTGCCTAGTTGTGTGCGCCGTACGACCACGCCCCGATTCGTTTGTTGGCGGTACATCAAAGGGAGGCAATGCACAGTACGTGCTCAGTCTGGATGGAGAATGTGTACCATACAGCATCGTACAGATTATAACGAGTTTTTAGGATTTATTCTGCATTGAGTGGAACCAGGAAAACGTTTTGCTTCTCCTGGATTTAAATAATAAGCGTGATATCTTAAGAGAGCAAAACGCTAGTTCTATTACAACACCATAAAATAGGAATATCCATGGCAGGAAATCAGCCATCGATTCCTTTCTCTCCTTTTTTCTTTAATGTGTCGGATAAAATAATAAAACATGCACTCAACTCCGCGGCGTCATCCTCGTCCTTCATTTCTGTTTTAATTTTACAAATGTTCTGGGTATACGGTTGCGTGCTCGCGAAATTACTAAATCAGTGACGAGCAGCGCCTCGTGCATCCACCATTCGTGTATACAAAATGCATCGCACGAGGCATTCGGTTCGGCCTCGGCTTGCCTCATACGCGTACGTGCTCAGATCTGTACCCTCCTTAATACAGAGCAGCTTAATTTGAGGCTATAGTAAACTCTTAATCAAAATTAACTAAATAGTATAATAAGGTACCTATACAGAGTGTTCCTAAACATCGTGCACATACGGAAGGGAGTAATTCTTTGGCTTATTTTATGACTAGAATGGCATATAAACATAGGTCCGCAAACGCTTCGTTACCGATTTACAGGGTGTTGAAATTTCAAGATTTTTGTTGCTTTTTTTTTAAAGCTCCTGCAGTTTTTGAGATGGTTAGCTCAAATTTGGAATCTAGATTGCGTTATAGGGCATACACTATTGGGTATGTCAGATGGTTATTGAACACACTTTGAAACACACTATACTTAACAATTTCGGGTCCACGGACACTAAAAATATTTTTCTCGATTTTGGTGTAAGAATGTCATAATCTCGCATGCAAAATCGTTGAAGAATGAAGTGGACTATAAGGTGCACTAACTCTTACTTAAAAACAATTTGTGCAATTTGAAAAGTGTTGCCAGATAAACATTTTTTAAAATCTTTAAATAAATATTAAATCATGGTGATTCATTGTGCTGTTTTTAATTGTGACTATGGGCGAGAGTCTTCAACATATTAATGGTGGCAGGTTTATATTGCCAAAAAACAGTTATACAGAATACGGTGCTGAGACTAAGTCACTAAATTCTATTTTTAAGTAATTTAAAAAAATGTAGATTTTAATTAATTCCCGCTTGAGGACATGTCGAAGATCCCTCGTATTTGTGTTTCCCAGGAATTCCCGTTTTTAATCAATTGCAAGTACCCTCGTAGGTTAAAATATTTCCGTATTTGCCGAAATCCGAATGGGCATTGGTAGATTCAATTTCATGTCAATTATCTACTTGTATCTATCAAGGTGCTAGTAGGGCATTTTTTAAATCTTTGAACTAGTAAACAGTCGGATGTGGTGGTGGGATCCCCACTCCGAAATTGGCGGGCTTCAAGCCTATTATTTATATAGTAAAACTTTATGATAATGATAATAATAATAATAATAATAATGATAATAGTATATTACGTAACAAGAGTTGTAAGTAACCAATTATGCACGAACTGAAAAAGTTTACACACAAAGCCGCGAAGCGAAAAGTGCGTAAATTTCGCGAGTGCGTAATGGGCTTACAACTCATGTAACGAACTATATTTTTTCTACGCCCACTTATTTTCTTCTATTAAATAAAGGACATATGCTTGTGTCGCCAATCCATAAATTTTCGATAGGTAATTTCGTACCTTTTTTTGGATTTTAGCGGTAATAAATTATGTGTGGCAGCTTAAGCTTTTTTTAAATCTCTGGTGGAGTACTTATAATTTCATCACTTTCACTACTAACAGGTTCATAGGTAAAGTTAGGAAAATGTTTGAAAACAATATTTTGTATAATGTATAATGTGTTGTCGACAATTAGGGGCATCATTTTTTTAATTTAAAATGAATCTGGCTAAAACTAAACGTTTTTATGTTTTACAATTCACTAAATTTATGTAAATAGACCAAATAAAGTCGAACGTAGAATTTGATTGCAATTTGATTAGACTAAGAAATATAAGTTTTCTTATCAAAACGTACGTGTATGTTATGAGATCTCATTACGTGCATTTTATTGTTAAATGTCATTTACAAGGAATGTTGACAGTGCGATTTTTAACGTTAACTGACATGGGCGTAGAAAATAGTATATTACGTAACAAGAGTTGTAAGTAACCCATTACGCACGACGTGAAAAAGAAAATTTCGCGAGTGCGTTATGGGCTTAGAACTCGTGTAACGTACTATACTTTTTCTACGCCCACTTATTTTCTTCTAATAAATAAAGGACATATGCTTGTGTCGCCAATTCATAAATTTTCGATAGGTAATTACGTACCTTTTTATGAATTTTAGCGGTAACAAATTATGTGTGGCAGCTTGAGCTTTTTCTAAAATCTCAGGTGTAGTGCTCATAATTTCATTACTTTCACTGCTAACAAACATATTCGTAGGTAAAGTTGAGAAAATGTTCGTATACAATCATATTTTGTTACAAAAATTAACAATATAAATGGCATGACGTTTATTTCCATAGCATGCTAAAAAAATTCGACATATTTTTTGAAATATTGTATAATATGTTGCCGAAATTTAGGGGCATCACTCTTTTAATCCAAAATATATTTCGCTTATGGTAAAAGTTATTTTATATTTTTTAAATGACTAAATTTATGTAAATAGACCAAATAAAGCCGTACGTAGTCAAAAATTTGATTGAAATTTGACTAAACCAAGAAATTTAAAAAAACCAAAAAAGGTTGACAGCTGTGTGCACGTAGTTTAGATTCAAAAAGGAAAAACTTGTATTTCGTGCAAAACTTTTTTATTAATGCAAAGCGCTTTCGGCTTATTTGCCATCATCAGTGCTCATTGTCCACAACGTATCCAACAAGTTCCTGGTCATCCTCACTCCCAAAATTATAAATTTCGGGATGTTTACACCTTGCTAAATCATAATTTTATTAATATTAATATTTTCAAATTTAAATTTATCTCATTTTGGTTCAAGTTGTTAACCGTTTCCACATGACTGTCATGTGGAAACGGTTAACAACTTGAACCAAAATGAGATAAATTTAAATTTGAAAATATTAATATTAATAAAATTATGATTTAGCAAGGTGTAAACATCCCGAAATTTATAATTTTGGGAGTGAGGATGACCAGGAACTTGTTGGATACGTTGTGGACAATGAGCACTGATGATGGCAAATAAGCCGAAAGCGCTTTGCATTAATAAAAAAGTTTTGCACGAAATACAAGTTTTTCCTTTTTCAAGAAATTTAAGTTTTCTTATCAAAACGCACGTGTATGTTATGAGATCTCATTACGTGCATGTTATTGTAAAATGCCATTTACAAGGAATGTTGATAGTGCGATTTTTAATGTTTACTGACATGGGCGTAAAAAAATAAATATAGTTAGGGGTCGAAGATGTTGATGATCTGTATATTGAATAATTTATACGTACACTGGTTATTAATTTAAATAATGTTTTCTCTGATGTATAATACGAGCAAGGGATATGGCGTGACTTTAAAGCCAGCCAACAACATACAAAAAACTAAGGATACCGATACATTACATATAGTTGAGAAGCATTCAAGAGACTGACACCCGTATGGATAGTCGATCGCAGGAGATTCATTCCGGCATATCGCCAGCGATTCGCTGGCGATCCTTTAAAAATTAAAAAATAAATGAGCACATCCTTTTCTCTGTCGTGAATTCGGCTTTTCAAATAGACTATTTTAAGGGTAGTAATCTTTCTAGGAAATGTTGAGCACCAATAATTCTCTTTTTTATTTTTAAAAGCTAGTGAGAATTATAAATTCTAGCTTTA